TAGGGATGACAATTTGCCCTGTTCTTGACGAGGATGCGAAAAACAATTTGGGAAACAGGGACGGGGAATGTTTGTAATTCCCTATCGTGGACGAGGCGGGGAGGGGTGGCTCTAGGGATGACAATTTGTCCCCTCCCCGACGGAAATCTCCGATCCCCGCCCCGATGGGGACGGGGATGGGTACACTCCTCCCTGTGTCGTCCCGTCCCTGAATAATTATTATAATTTTAAGTAATTAATTATATATAGTATACTCCCGCCCCGTTATCATCCCTAAGTAGCTCAGCAAACATGGCCAAATACTGATGCGTAGCTGCCAAGTTTCAAACCATGATCTCTTCTTCTAAGTTATGCTTACTAAATCAACTGTGAGCTAAGCTTGTGCGTGCAAGTTTCGCTTCTTATATTTTTAGATAGACGTTAGTATTTCTCCTTTTTCCGTTTACTCATTTCTTGCTTTCTATTTCCGTGCAACATTGATTGTGAATACTTGTATTGTTATTTTCAGAATTGTGATGAATATAATAAAGACTGATGAATTCAACTTTCAAAAGAAAAAGACTGAATTCAATTTTTTTTAACAAAAATTATGTAATCATAGGCATAGACTATTTAGACCATGCCTAAGCCTTTAATATAATATAATATAATATTATGATGGTGATATTGAAGCGAAGCAAAAACTATCCAAAAAATGTTTAATCATGCTTTATCATCATTTCTCATACATTACTAACCGTTATTCATTTTTAATTATTAGTTGGTGTAAACGTTATTAATTTAAAAGAATTGAACCGTCTTTTTTAAATTGACCATAGAATATAAAAGCATTCATTAATGAAATTTATTGTGGTGATGGTTACTTACAGCCTGCAATTTGAACTTGTAATCAATATAATTTGAAACCAAAAAAAAAAAAAAAAAAAAAAAACCCAGCAAAAGTATGATGCTCTATTTTTGTGACTAATATTGGAAAGACCAATGCTAGATGTCCCTATATTACCACTCACAAACTTGCCATTTTTTGATGTGACAAGTTTTAATTGGTTAATATTATTTAAAATTAAAAAAAAAAGGAAAATTATAATTTATACCCATCACGAATATGTCAAGTATCAATGTCAAACCGTGACATATATTGCCCCTCTCCTGGCCTAATAGGAAGAAGGAGAAACATTGTTGTCGGCGGAAGAAGAACAAACGAATAAATAAAAATGGAGGGGAAAAATGTGGTTTTCAAACAGTGAAAACAACGCATAACCATATTTACACAACTTATTTTTTTGAAACGATATTTACACAACTTATAATTTAGTGGAGAGACAATATATGTCACGTTTTGAAAATTAAAGGGCATCATTTACACCACTAATAATTCAGGGATTGACATTAATAACTGACATATTTGTGAGGCGCATAAATTACAATTTAAAAAGAGAAAAGAAAAACACAAACCTATCATGACTCGCCATATTAGGGAGTGACATGTTTGTGAGTGAAAAATATAGAGACAATTAGCATTTTCCAATTGAAAATTTGTAATGCGCGTACAAGAAAAATTAAATTTATTGATCAAACTTAATTCTATTTAATAATGCAAATAAATATTTTGTGAGCGGAATTAACGTTACAATTGTGAAGAATTACTACGTTGAGCCGGACAATGAAGCCGGCAAATGGAGAGCAACTGCAGCTGACGACTGAACTATGCATTTGTCTTTTGAAAAATTTTTAATGTATACTTCTAAATAATAATATTATTTCTGCCACAGATCTTAGTTTCATGCAAAAAAAAGTTTTTATGACTCATTTTTTGGCCAACTTGTGCTCGCCATGTTAGTATGAAGTGAAAATAATATTGTAAAAAAAGATAATAAATTTAATCATTTTAAATTTATTATGCAATAACTAAAATCTTATAATTGACGCGACTACATTTTTTTTTATGAGAAATGCATGCTACATAAACCAAATTACATATACAAACTTTAAATAAATTTATATGGCTTCATATAATTAATACAATCACTTAGTTTACGATTAGTACTTTACTAAAAAGTCAGTTGAAAAATATGGTTACTAAAATTAGAGTTATCTAAAATTCTAAACCAATTAAACCGGTTGAAATAGAAAAAATAACAAAAGAAAGATATAAAAAGATAAAAATGTCTTTACTAAAGATAGGAAATGTCATGAGAATGACTAAAAGTGTTCAAAAAATAATAGTCTGGATGTTAAATGACAAAAATGATAATTTGGACTAAATTTGGAATTGACACCAAAGACAATAAACCTCTTGTGAAATTAACTCATTATAATTATCATAGAAGTTATTTACACTTTGATGAGTTTCATTAAATAGTACTCCGTATGAAATTGGATGTAAACAATATAGTATAAATAAATTATTTTTTTTTTTTGTATTGCAGAGTATTTATTGAGAAAGGCCTTTTCGAGTTTTCGTAGCTGAGCTTTCAAATTGATGATATCTAAGCAAGGGGATCTAGTCATGTACCTTAGTAGGTTAAACTATGTTGGTATTTTGTCATCCCATTTTTAACTTTACTTTTAGCAGATTTTGCCATTTATTGTAATCTTGTAGTTGTTGGAATGGTAAGATCCGTATATTACTTTTGAAGGACGGACAATTACTGTATAACAATGAAACTGAGTAGGATACTTTATCATTTTGCATTGAGGATACATTTACTTAAGAATCTATTTATTGGCTATCCTAATTAATTACTTTTTAGATTTTACCAATTGTTTTATCCACCAAAGTTACTATTGTGTTAACGAACACTTCACCCACCTCTCTTTGTGTTACATATAAACCAACTCAAAATAAATTCATAAGCTTTGTTTTGCTAAAATTTGAGGGTTAATAAGCCAATTAAAACACATTTCGCAAACCAGCTTGGTTGGTGTAAGTGGCAGTGCACTCTCATCCTTATTAAGAGAGTTCGACAGTTCAAACCTCCTCTCGTACGAAAAAATCAATTTGACTAGTACTTTGCTCGGCCCGGTGCGAATGGAGAATAGTCATCGTATGATACGAGTTTAAAGGACAGTTAGGATTTGTTCAGCCTACCCAATAGTTGGAGAGTAATCATCGTATGATACGAGTTTAAAGGACAGTTAGGATTTAGAGCTTGCTCAGGAAACCTCATGGCCTAACAAAAAAACACATTTCATAATTTAGCAATAAGAAATCCTTAATAATTTTGAGATTCGAATTTACCAAACACATGACACATGGACCAACATTTGATAAGGTAGTATATTTCTTTAAATAAAATTAACAAAAAGGAGTACAAAAAAAAAAAAAAAATAGAGGAATCAATGCCAAAAACGTGCCCATAATCAGATGAAATCAATTAATTGTATGAAATTACTGTCATTGAAAAGGGAAAACGTACTTTGTCTTCTCATGAAGTATTTTAATTGGTCAATACAATGAATTGGAACTTGAAGCTAACTCTGGTTGGCATTTTTAATCCTAGGTATTCTCTTACCTGTAAACCTTAAAATTTTTGGACATATGGCATTTATATATGGATGTTGGTACATGTAATGTCAGACTTGAACCACGCACTATGATGCCTCAATCTTTCCAAACTTCCGGTTGGTAGGGCAGCACTATTACTGGTAAGTCTGCCCTGTACAATTAAATAAGGGCACTAATTAAACTTTTTAAGTAGTAAACTACTAATAAAAGTAATCACGGATAGGTACAGTACAGTATAGTAAATTCCCACTTTCTCACAGCATTTATATTAAGAAACTAAGCTTGATTACGACCCAGTTGTACTGTGTGCCTGCTTCTGCTAGGTGAGCCATATCATATTTGAAAACTAAATTATATTCATAACTGCAATAATTACTAAGTTTAAATCAAATATAATTACATTCAATATATTTTGGTGAAACTAGAATCTTCGAAAAATAAGTCATCACAATTTAGTTTGAAATTAAGGACCTGAAAGTAATAAAATATAAAAGTACAATAGAATATTATTGCCTATTTGCCTAGAAGTCAATAGAAAAAATCATATACTACATACAAGTTATGGAGACAAGACTCCTATTTATAAGTTGCTACAACCCTAGTTCAATTCAAACAAAGTTTCTTAAAACGCAGTTGTCACCTTGAACTCCAATTAAGCATGTAGATTCCTAATTGGATGTCCTTCCTCCGCCAATTATATCGTGCACCCCGGGGTTCAAATCGCAAGTTTGACTCTAATACATAGTCATTTTTAGTATACTGCAGATTCATTTTCAGTAAATTTATTATATTTTGATACATGTTCATTTTTAATGTATTGTTGATTTTGTGTGTGTATTTATTTCAAAATAAATCGTAATTCACTAAAAATTAACATATTATATATATTAAAATTAAACTAGTATTGAGACTCCACCTTACTACGTGAACCTTGGTCCATGGTATATAAGTATATAACCATTACTCCATCCTTTCTAAACACTCCTTTTTGTCAAGTCATTCACGGCTCATGGGTTGAATCTCCTAACCTTGGACCAAGTTCACATGCCCTTTGTACCTCGTGTGCATTTACGTACAAGTTCGTAGTTCTCATTTAAGGAGTGGTTCTTACTTGAACGTAAGTGTGTGTGTGTGTGTATATATATATATATACATATATATATATATATATATATATATATATATATATATATATATATATATATATATATATATATATATAAATTAATTTTAAGAAAACATCCTCATGAATTTTAAAGGGATCTCATCAAGAGTAAATTAAAACTCACTCACTTATGGTGAAGTTGAAAAACACCTGGCCCGTACCATGTCATATACACGTAATGATAAACTCAAGTATTAATTTTTACCATTTCAACTTGTATCAATTAAATTTTCAATTTTTAATTAATGTTTAATTTTCAACGAAATTTTGAATTCATTAGACCAATGGTAATATAGTGTAGTAAACTAGTAATATGTATGGAAAGTCATGATGTAATGAGCATCAACCTACTGCACATATAAAATGGAGGTTAAGGGAGATAATTTGGAGCCACAAACCATCTTAACATATGATTTGGCTCTTTAATTTTTTAGTTAACAATTAATCCCAATCACCTCTCCTGCTTCACCTCTTTCCCCCTTTCTTTTTGTGTATATAAAATAACGTCTCTCTCAATAAACTCAGATCACTAAGAACACTTCACCCGCCCTATTCGATCAGAAAGCCATGATGATGGACGACGAAATCCTCCCTGATTTTGACTTTGGTCGGTACAGTGGCTATAGCACCACCACAACCACCACCACCCCGTCCTCCGACGATGACCATGCTGCCACGTGGAACGGAAGTTCGCCGCTGGTGGACTGGGAATTTTTCTCCGGCGACGATGAGTTTGGCGATCTTATTGATTCCATGATGGATGGGCAGGCGGCGAACGCCGTGGGTTTGACTTTTCCGGCCATCCCGACGGTTGTGGAGGTGGAGGAGGAGGAGGAGGAGGAGGAGGAGTATAATATTGTGGAGGATACGAAAGGGTTGAGGCTCGTACACCTCCTCATGGCGGCGGCGGAGGCGCTCACCGGCTTGAACAAGAGCCGCGAGTTGGCTCGCGTGATATTGGTTCGGCTCAAGGAATTGGCTTCCCCTCGCGACGGCACCAACATGGAGCGGCTCGCGGCTTACTTCACCGACGCCCTCCAGGCGTTACTCGACGGCGCCGGAAGCCTTCACGCCAAGAGTTTCCCGGCGAGCAAAGACGACCACCCTCACGGCGACGCCCTGGCGGCGTTCCAGCTCTTACAGGACATGTCCCCCTACGTGAAATTCGGCCACTTCACCGCGAATCAAGCGATTCTCGAGGCCGTTACGCACGACCGGAGAGTCCATATCGTCGATTACGATATAATGGAAGGGATCCAATGGGCTTCTCTAATGCAAGCTCTAATTTCCCGACAAGACGGCCTCCCGGCCCCACATCTCCGGATCACCGCATTGTCGCGCGGCGGCGGCTCCGGCCGCCGCTCCTTCTGCTCGGTACAGGAAACCGGCCGCCGCCTCACCGCCTTCGCGGCGTCGATCGGGCAGCCGTTTTCGTTCCACCAGTGCCGGCTCGACTCCGACGAGACGTTCAAGCCGTCGGCGCTGAAATTGGTCAGGGGAGAAGCCATCATCGTCAACTGTATGCTCCACCTCCCCCATTTCAGCTACCGGTCGCCGGATTCCATCGCCTCGTTCCTCTCCGGCTCGGCAACGCTAAACCCGCGGCTGGTGACGCTGGTGGAGGAGGAGGCGGCGCCGCCGCGGGACGGCGGGTTCGTGGACCGGTTCATGGACACTTTACACCACTACTCTGCTCTATACGATTCCCTGGAAGCGGGTTTTCCGATGCAAGATCAGGCCAGGACGTTAGTTGAGCGCGTGTTCTTGGGGCCGAAGATATCGGTGGCCATAACCCGGAGTTATCGGTGTCGGGGAGAGGAGTACGGGTGGTCGTGGGGAGAGTGGGTGCCGGAAAACGCAGGGTTCCGGCCAAAAACCATAAGCTTTGCGAATCGTTGTCAGGCGAAATTGTTGCTGGGGCTGTTTAACGATGGGTACAGAATTGAAGAAATTGGAAATCATAAACTGATTTTAGGGTGGAAATCCAGGCGCCTTCTCTCTGCTTCTATCTGGACCTCTGTTCATTCTGATCTCTGAATTCTTCAATTCCATTTTCACAATTTGTTTTTGTTCATAAACTGATTTTAGGGTCCAAAATCAGTCTGTTAATGTCCACTAAGTGAGTGTCAAGTGGGCATGAAATCAAAGTTATCCATTTTACTGCTTGTACTGTACCTATATATTGCTACAAATTGTTTATCAGATGGATGAATAAATCACAAAAACGTAACCCTAATCGAGTCACTTCAATACCATTAGCCGCAAATATAAGTCCCAGTCTAGCAAAATTTCAAAATTGCAACTCGAACATAATTTAGGACCGACCCGAACAACATGAATCCGAAACACTTTCTCTATATGCTGCTTCCATTCTTCGCCTAACAAAATTTTAAACTGACTAATTATGATCAGTTTTTACTCGAACTCGACCCATGTCTAACTCTACATTTGAATAGTTATTTTCTCAACCGTTACTGAGAATTGCTTTTGACTTAAGAAATTGAGATGATGATATCTACTATTTTCTAACTAATGTGTCTCTTTCTGTATAGCACGAAACCTATGAATGAACACCATTTTTTCACAACACGTAAGCAGTAGAATAATCTAGGTTATAGCTAGGTCAAAGCCTGTTGAGAGATTGATAATTTGATATGAGAAATAGAAAAGGAAATGGCGTGTACCAACTTGTCCAGTGGTTTCTATATATGTAAATTTGCATGGTTTGTTGATGTGAAATGTTGCATGATTAGGGGAAACCCAACATTTTTTGACCTTCTTAGTATGGAAAGTTTTCCTTCATTATTGCATGTTTTCTGAATAATATTCCAAGACATTTTGCAACATATTTTTGTCACCCTTCACATAATACCACATATTATTACTAATGTTGTCTCTTAGGGTGAGTTTGGAAACCTGAAAAATGATTTCTGAAAATCATTTTCCAGGTTTCCAGTGTTTGGCAAGAGAGGAAATATAAAATTAATAGAAAATGAGTATGTTTTTTTAGGAAAATGACTGCACGAGGAAGTCATTTTCCAAGTTCTTCACCAAGCTCTGCCCTCTTTACAGACCAAGCCGCCTTGCTCGACTTCTTCGTCCTCTCCTCCTTCTTCTTCTTCTTCTTCTTCTTGTCTTCTTTGTCCTTAATTTTCACCATGCTCAACTTCTTCGTCCTCTTCTTCTTCTTCTTGTCTCCAGTCACTACTCCGCCGTCCTTTGGGAGCTTCTTGCTGGCCTTCAGCTTCTTCTTCGCTGGAGCCTTCTCAATTGCGGTAGCCTTCTTTGCTGCAGGCTTCTTTTCAGCCGGCTACTTCTCTGCCTTAGGGGCCATTGGTTTTTGAGAAAAAGACTAGTCAACGTGACTTATTTCAGAAACCAGTCGACCAGACTGGTTTCCGATGCGACACCAGTCTGGCTAACTAGTTTTTGAGCGGTAATTTTGTGATATCTCCTTGGTTATTTTGTTGTGCTCATTTTCCTACTTATTTTCTGTAAAATGAACCAAACAAACAAAGACAATTTTCTACTATGCAACCAAACACGGGAAAGGAAAAATGTTTTCTGAAAAATAACTCATTTTACGAAAAATATTTTTTTCATAAGTCATTTTCCTGCTTTTCAAACGGACCCTTAGTCGAATCCTAAATAGTGGTATTCTTCACTTCCTCTTGTAACCAAATTATGGTGTGAACCATGATCAACTTTTCAATATAGATCAATAATGTTCATTTTTAATGTATTAAAAGTTTATTTTTTTTTAAAGTATACTACCTCAAAATGAGTCTTCAGTACACTAAAATAACATGATATAATAATTGTCCATGTATTAGTGGTTTCTTTTTTAGAACGAATGTATTAGTGGTTTTTAATCATCTGAATTTCCTGTTTTGGTTTCAAAAACTAAAATAAAATAGATAAACAAAACAAAAGCCCGAAGAGTGCGAAAGTGCTTAATATGTATGATATTACATGTCTAAATTTAAGGGGTATTTTTCATAATGAATTTTATTTTTCAATGGTTATTTGAAGAGTATCAAATATATTTAATTAAACGGTAAAATAAAAAAAGGTTTTAGAATTACAAAAAGGGAAAATATATAAGTTTTTTTTAGAACTATTGACTTTGATCTATTATAAGGTATTATATGTTCAACTTACTTGCTCTATCAGTTAGCCCAAAGAGTTAATACCCCATCCACCAGTGGGGTTTAATCCCGTGACATTCCTGACCTCAAGAATAGGTGTCATCTGAACACAATGTGTTTGGCTGAAAATATATTAGTGTTGTATTTTATTTTATTTTTTGTTTTGTTTTGTTTTGTTTTGTTTTTTGTTTTTTTTTTTTTTTTGGTATTAATTAGAAGTATAAAATTTACTATTATTAGATACTAACACCGTTATTCCGTTAATCTACTTTTTTTTTTTTTTTTTTTTTGGCAAAACTCTTTTAAATTTCCACCTAATAGGACTGTTGGTAACTTATTGTGGGGAAAAAAACATTAAATAACTTGTATATGATAGGATAATTTTTTATCATGATTATTCGAAACCGCATTTGATGCGTTTACTCATTTCTTCTTCTTTAATATAGAAATGAAAAATTAGAGAAAGCATGAGAATTTAGGAGAAGGGTGCCAGTAAATGTTAAAATTTTTAGCATAAAATGGTATTTAAGTGACTATTTTTTCGTACAAATATATGTGGGGTCCACTTCTGATTTGTATCGAGTCAAAGTGGATTCGCACTCTTCGTAGTAAAATAAAGAAATCGATATATTGTATGCTCAAAACGGATAATAGGTGATTGATAAATTGATTTTCAAAATATACCAATTTGATAGTTGGAAATTAAGGTGGAAAGACTTTGTAAAAAGCATTTGTCCCATGTTGATTTGGAAAGTAAGTTTGCACCACTATATATATAAGAGTCTTTTAAAAGGATGTTAGATTGTATAGCATAGATGTTGTCTCTCGTGTGCAAGAATGAGCCTGAAAAGGCTTTATTCGTGTACGAGGTCCGAAGAGCTTGAATCTATTTTAGTAGTGAGTTTTTATTATTTGGTCAACTCATGTTTGACTGAGTAGTAAAGGTTTACCCTTCGCATATAACCTTCAGGTTCGTGAATACTGCTCGAAGTACTATTTTGGAGAATTAATTTCAATTTAATTTTGAGAATTAAACTCCATATTAAACTTGCAGGTTATGCGAGTTACGTATATGGGTTTAAATAAGATTTAATGTCATTGTTAATGTTATTTATTCCATCTTCTCCTACAACTAGCCTTGTTGTTGAGGGATTTTAGATGCTAGTTTTACCTGCTCAAAATCCTTTTCTTTTGCTGTCGTCCCTTCTCTAGTTTTCTTGAAAGAAAACCTGTCAGCACTTCCGTAAATTGTACGAAGTGCTCGCATGTTGTTCTTGTTCGCTGAGCTTCAAGTTAGAGTGCTCAAACTTTAAGCTATAATCCGTTTTATCTTGGGAGACTAACGCTACAACACTCCTAGTACCCTCGTGTGAAGCGAATTAGTTTTAAAGAGAGTGTGAGTACACACGACTCTAATTTTTTCTCCTTCTCATTTCTCGCGTTGGGTTTATATTCTCAAAATTGAAAACTCTATTTTTGGTATTTATTTATTTTATAAATAAATTTTAACCTTAGTTACGTACCAGGTTGTTGTTGAGATTATTTTTTTGTAAAATTATAAATCCCATTTTTTTTAAATTATATAAATATTATATATTTTTCAAAATTTTGTTATATATATATATATATATATATATATATATATATATATATATATATATATATATATATATATATATATATATATATATATATATATATATATATATATATATATATATATATATATATATCAACTTTGACTTGTTTGACCACTATTAGCAATTTGACTTGGTTAAACCGACAATATGAATGTTTTCTTAATCAGGGTTTTTATAACAACTTATTATTCCAAAAAGTTGCTCAAGGCAGTTTTTTTATCGACTTTTTGAGAAAATAAGTTGTGCCATTAAATGTCATTTTGCATGTAATCAGCTATTAGTTAACAACTAATTTACCAAACATCTATCTTTTTACAATCAGCTAATGTTGTCAGCTAGTCAAACCCGCTAACTCAATCCGCTAACAACTAGTCAAATCCGCAAACTCAATTCGCTAATAGCTATTTGCCAAACACCCCCAATATTCTAAATTGGAAATAAAAACAATAAAATTTGAAATTTAAAAGGGACGTAAGTAAAATAGAGTATTGAAATAATAAGGGCAACTTAAATTTTTGGTTGTTCCCAAAAAGGTTTAATCTCCAACTCTAAGGGTCCTCACACTCCGGCCCGACAGAGTATCTGGAGAATGTAAATCATGGTAACTCAGCTGAACACTGAGGCTAGATCTTGGTTTATTGCGCACAAAGAACTTACTCACTTTGAGAGGTTGCTTTTATACTGTTATTGGTGAGACTTATCCCGAGTCGTCATTGTTCTCAAATTAAACTTCACTCATGCAATCAACTAAATCCTCCATGCAAGCAACTTACATATTTCCTTAGCCGGGATGGAGGATTGAAGAAATTAAAATATAATTTTAAATTACAAATCTAATAATTATTATAGCTAGAATAAAAGACCTTTCATGAACGTACAAGTTGTCTACACCAGTCTTTATTTTATTCCAATTTTTTAACTACAAATTTGTAAGTGGTCCTCCTAGATCATTCCCTCAATCCCTTGTAAGATTTTATCAAGAATATTCCGAGTACAAATGTATACTAAAATGCTTCAATACTAATTTCTAAGTGGTCCTTCTATATTTTCTTATTTTATTTAATATTATGCTTTTAACATTATATTAAAACGTAAGATAAGTCTCAATAGTATAAAGAAAAAAAATCCCAACAATCAAGATTTCTCTTGGCTACTGCATGTGTTTTTTTTTTTTTTTTTTTTTTTTTTTTTTTTTGTTTTCATTAATTTTTTTCAATTCCCGATTATTTAATAGTTACTATGTATATTTTAATTAGCTAGGATTATATTAGTTGTAATCATTCGCATTTACTAAAAAATATCAAATAAGTCATTAAACTTTTACAATTTGTGTAATTGGTTTATCAAACAAATAAGTATGTAATTGAAATATGT